CAAAATTTCTCTTTTGAAGAATTGCAAATGAAAGTTTTTCTATAATGATCTTAAATGAATCCAAAGCTGCAAAAGAACTGCAATTGCACTCATAATCCTTGTTCGGCTATTCGTTTAGAACTGTTCCACTTCATCCCAACATTTCAGTTTGCAAAAGACTAGAAGTGAATTTTCGAAATATCTATAAAGTTCTTTGCAAAATCTATTGTTTTCAGCTACATCTTATAGTTGCAACTTATAAAAAGTCATTCTGTTGTGAACTTAACAGGAGCTTTTTATTATACGACGTAATAATTAAGATAAAGGACTGCGTGGAATTGGTAAACGCAACTCTTGTTAAGTTGGCTAAAGAAAGTGCATTCCGAATATACAGTGAAAAAAAAATGGATAAAAAATGAAGAACTGTCAGGAGGAATTCTTCTCTCTCAAAATCGAAGTATAAAGGGAAAGGAAGAAAAATCTCCAGACATACAGTAGAAGCAGTCTGAATGAGTGCTTATCGTTCATTATTTCTACCAGGAAATTGTCTTTATGTAAATATGACTTGTGCTTGAAGAGATATACGATCGAATTTGAAACATTTGTAATAGATGTGTTAAAAATATTTAAAGAGCGGATTAACAAGTGAGCATCAGTGAAGAAATTAGAAGAGACGTTAGCGAACTTATTTTTGTCATTTTCTGTGTTTTAAGAAAATCATTGTTTTGAAGAAAATCAAACATTTAATTTTCCTTGATTTTGTTTTCAGTTCTCATATTACGATAATTCTATTTTCGCGTTATTCGCTCGCACTCATTTGGAATTGTATGGTCAATAAAAGATAACTGACTGACTTTTGAGAAAAATATTAGTCAATAAATCATCTTTTTCAATAAATAATTTAAAAGCTTACAACCAGACGTTCCAATCTTAGGCAGATATATATTTACGTACATAAATCGGCTACTTTTTCGTCACAGATGTTCTATTCCTTGCAGTTTGTTTCATTTCTTCGAAAATGTCCGTTTGTGTTCACTACCATGAATGAGTCAGAGATGACTAGCAATTTTCATCTGTCCTTTTTGCAATCGGAAATAAAATAAGAATTTTGTGTTGGATTTGTCAGAAGTTGTTGGAAATTTTAAGACCATATCAAATATTTATGCTATCGGACAAATTTATTTCTATCAGATACTGTTAATAAAGAGAACATGTCAGAAAATTGTCTGACATTTAAGAAGAAAGAAAATGATTTAATGAGTAATATATTGGTCTATTATTACTGTCAAATCCATTTCAGTCCAGTACTGAATGCAATGCGATAGCTAATAGTTGGACAAAGTTTAATTTCCGTTCGATGAGGTAATATATTATTCAACTTTGGTAAAACTTCAACCTCAATCTTTCCGAGTGAAAAAATGTCTATTGACGATAACAAAGTGATATGACTTCACTTTGAAAAACTTTATAAGAACTTTGTTTGCATTATTAATTCACAAATGGCAATAGCTATATAAAAGGTACATATGTATAAATTATTCTTTTTTTGACTTTAGAGTTTCCTGAATGTACTGTCATCATGTTTGTAGATTATTACTGATAATATGCAGATTACCACCAATAAGAATTTATATACAGTTAAAACTGAGATTTAGTCGTGAGGCTGGTTACTGCTATTAATGTCTTTTAGCACTCGCAAAATTAGGAAGTAAGTGGCAGAAGGATGAACTTATTCAGTTGCGTCTTTTGATCAACAAAATTTCAAAATTAAATGCGAGGTCATCGATGTTTACATATAATCTTATTAACTTCGAAAGGAAATAGAAAGTTTTCAAAGACAGTCAAGTATACTTTGAAAAAGCTTTATCGGTTAATATGCAAGCTATGTAATCGAATTTTGCGGGGCAGGAATGCAATGATCAATATATGAATTGACGATGGTAAACTAGAAGAGCCGGTCAGTAATGTTGTTGGGTTCTGAACTGGGGATATGCTTTATTTGTTTTTGATGCAGTGTCCAGTGCTGTTACCACTTGTAGGAGTGTAGATTGAACCGTTTAAATATACCTGGGCATTTTCACCCATCAATACCCATAACAGTGATCCTCTACGATTCTCAACATTTGTGTACTTTCTGATCCATCTAACCAATCTCCACTTTTAACTTCGCAGCTTATATTTTAATTTCCTTCTCTTTATATATTTTATTTCACAAAATTTCTATGAAATATAAATTCATCCTTTTAACTCATCATTTACAAAAATTTACAGCTTTTACAAATATTTGTAGTTCAACACAAAAAGGCCATTAGTGGATCAATGGATGACTTTCTAAAATGGTCAATTTTTTTTGGATGAACTTAATTAAACTGCGTAAAACTTGTAGAGAGTTTCCGGCTACCTTAAACATGAAATTGTTTCAAATGTTTTGCTTTGATAGGATTGATTCAGGCATGGGCAAACAAAAAGATAATAGAAAGTGAACAGATGTGTTTATCAGTTGAGTGAAATTTTGATAAGCAAATTTCTAGTAAACTGTGCATTGCAAGCATCCATTATGTAGTAATATTCAAAGCACAATCATTCTTGAGTTTTTCATTTCAAGATTTCAAGATTTCATGCCTGAACTGATAATGATTTAAAAAATAAAAACTTTACCAAAAAAAAGCACTTCATTGATTATGACTGTAGCACATAGCGTTTAATATCTCTAACAACAGTGAACACTTCTATTTTTTTGAATTTGATTTCACTATGCTCACTAGATGATAACAGTAATATATGAAACTATCGATTTATAGATAGATAATGTAATTGGATAACTCGTGATGAATCATTCGAAGAATATAATCATCGTCAACGTTTAAAGATGATGTCATTTAATCGCTATAGTTGTTTTCCAGAATGTTATCAAGTGCTTTCCAATTATTTCAAATGTTTCGCAATGATTAACGATTTGTAAACTATTTGCAAGAAGAATGACATTTGGCTATACAAAAGGATGAGAAAAGTTCATTTCTATCTTTTGAAAAAGTTGCAATGATTTTCCTTCAGATCAGAAAAGGAGGTGAGATGCTGTGTGAAAAAATTTTGGTTACAACAAATACTATCACTACGAAGCAAGCCAGAAGAGGTTAAATTTAAAATGGGATTCTAATAGCAATGTATTTATCATGCTTTACTTTTCAGCTTACGCTTCACATCTTATAACCACGTAACTTTACAATTGTTGAAATTACTAGTGCTTAAAAGTGGGTTTTTATTATCAAAATAAAATTTAAATTTAAATTTTGAAAATAAGTTATTTATTTCGACTTTGGAATGAAAAAGACAGGTTACACGAGTTAAGTGAGCTGAAATAAATCATGACACATATGAAATTTTAGTTACTACAGACTTTATAAAAAAAAGTTACGCCGGAATCTCTGATAACAGAAAATCGGAGTCGCTTCATTGGTTTACAATCCCTTCCTTTTTTTATTATTTTTATTATCGCAATGAAGGTTATATTTTCTAGATGCCATTTCACTTTTTTTGTTACATTTTGATAATTTTGAATTTTTCTCCCTTTCACGAAGTTATAATCCACTGAAATCGTTATTTCTTATGCAACAATAGACAAAAACTAATTGTAATCTTTATTGTTCACTATCAGTTTTTTTATTTATTCTACCTTGAAGTACCTATTCATGAGTATTTTAGTGTGCGAATTATTTTGTCAGTAAAATTAATTTTGCACATAGTCGTCGATACTGTCAAAATGCTATTTATTTGGTTACGCATTAGAAACACTGTATCCAAAAATGACTAAGTGATATTTTTTCTACGAGAGTGTCGAGTTTTACTTCATAGTAACAAAGCTAATAAAAAAAATTAGTAATATATTATGCTAACTTATTTTAATACATGATTACCCTAAGATTTTCAGCTCATTTGCTGAAATACTTCTTTGGGTGCTACAAAATTTATTAATCATCCGATGGAAAATTTTTGGAATATTAATAGAGAAAATAAATTTTATAAGGAATTTTTATATGCCATTACTCAGATTAGCACGAGCATATCTCTCCGAAAATATATTTATCTGTGTAAATATGTTTGACAGGTGGGTTTTATTGGTCATGTCCTGATTGCATTATTTGTTGAGTTCAGTTATATCTGTACCCCTTGAAAGAAGTGACCGATGGTCCTCAAACTTCAATTACTGCTATTTATCCTTCCTCACTGTTTCCCTATACAAATATTAACTCATGTATTAAGAAAAATTACTGCTCCAGAAATATCAAATTTTCTTTTCAACAGTTGGCGATATTTACCATTTTTGTACTTCTCATAATTCATAATAATAATTTCGCGAGAAAACGAAAGTACTTTCTGTAGTGTTGTTATCCACTTGTTGAACATGTATAATGATGAGGTTCGCTTCACTATTTTGTAAGCTTCTGAATCAATTTCGATAGATTTTCTTTAAGAAGTACAGTAGTGTGTATTCAATTAAGTGCAAAAAAACTCATCGTTGTTTTGCAAGGATTCCTCAATTTAAGCAAAAAACTTAAGTATTAAAAAAATTCACATTTGTTGCACTGCTATGCAGAGATCTGTTAACATTTTCTTACACCTCTCTGATCGAACATTATTTCTTAATTCTTGGATTCAATTTCATTTTTCTGTTATCATTTTTATAAATTACGGTGCTCCAAGCTAGAAAAAAGACGAGAATGTTTGGTCCTATATTCAGTGCTTCTATTTATCGCTCATCGAACAATATTTTATTGACTGGGAAACTTAATAAATACTTGTTTTTATCTTTTGTCTTTTTATTCTTATCAAATATGTACCGTTGTCATAAATCATTTCAGATGATAATGAGATATCAGTGCTGATTTTTGTGCTGTGCATCGCTGCACTTTTTATATATTATCTTCTGATTCTGTGCTCCTGAAGATTCATATTTCTCATGTTCTGAAAAGCTCGCAAATTTTCTTTTTTGTTCGAAAGAGAAAAATTTGCATTGATCAAAAATGATGTACCGTTTCGATGTTTTACTCTTACAAATTTGTTCGCTATTTGTCGACACAGTTTCGCAAATAATGATGACACGACATGCGCTACGAACAATTCAAGACAATGTCAAAATTCCTTCTCTACATCCGCCGATATTGAAGGTCAGCTTTTTTTTCGAAATCCGTGTTGTTCACACTATCATAAGAAATTTCCTGCTACTGAAGAGAAAAAACATTTTTGAATTTTTAATTCTTTCAATCATTTTATTAGTGTTAGAAAACGTGTTAATTTTTATTAGCGTTAGATGTCGTGTGTAAATTGTTGCCCTCGTAATCTTTAACTAAAAGAAATACAAACATTTAAATCAAAAAACTCAATTGCAGGCTTCATCACATGAAGGTTATATTATGGAATCAGCAGAAATGGGTACCACAGTTAGAATTTCTCCTTCTCCATTTTCAGATTCACTTCAAATCACTATTTACGACAATGATCTGGTAGTAATTACTTACACCGAATCTCTTAATTGGAGTTTTACGTTCTGAAACTTCAGTTACAATGAAAACTATTCAGATTTTTACGTATAATTGATTTTTCCTCCTACTTTATTTTTTCCTGTTTTATAGAAGCCTGGCATGCCTCCAGCCGTTTATGAATACATACTAACGGGACCAGGCTCATCCATATTTGCTGTTGATCAAAGAGGCTATGTCTATTTAAATGTGCCATATGTAAGTGCTGACCCTCCAAATCCATCAACGTACCAGCTTCATGTGAGCAATTTTTTGATTTATGAAATCTTCTTTACTTCGAGAAAAAGACTTAAAATTAGTGGAAGTTCAAAATTGTTTATAACAAGCTATTAATTCAAGTGACGGAACATTTAAAGATAGAAGCTCGAGAAGTAAATACGACGCCAATTCGTAGTAGCGAACCAATATCAGTAATAATACACGTTATGGATATCAATAATAATCCTCCACGCTTCAGTTCCTCTGTTTATGTAGCGAATGTTAGTGCCAGTGGTACTGATCGTCCTGTCATACAGGTAGGTTATTCTAAACTCCTTCTTAAACATTTTAATTCTTGAAAACAAAAATCGACAAGTTAAAATATTTATGTCTAATTTAGATTCATGCAACAGATAATGATGTCGGTAAGAATGCGCAAATAAGTTATCATTTGGTATCAGTAAGTGGTGGAGCACACAACAATTTTTGGTACGATAGTAACGCACATCAATTAAATGTTGTTGGAAATTTAAAAGCTGGTGAACGATATGAAGTTAGCATAAATTACAATTAAAATAAATTATGACTGACTTTTCCATAGTTTTTATGGATTTTTAGTCAATGGCTTGTCAATGACAATTCAATACACGCAGTTTTTGCTTGCGAAATGATCATGGAGCCCGGTTTAAATTGCACTTAGACTTTAATTAATATTTAATTGTTACTTTGATGATGTAATAAAAGAATGTTCATAACATAGGAATGCAACGTTTTCAAACAAATCACAGTCAGTGTTTCATCGTTCCTCTTTTGGATATTTGCTAATTGGATTCAAAAATTAGTTCTATCATTTTCAGGTTGTGCTGAAAGCATTCGATGATGGCGGCCTTTCAAGTCAAGCACTTATAATTGTTTATGCTGTACCTGACAATTTTCAAGAAGTAACAGTGCTTGATCAAAAAAAGGCGTCAAGCGAACGAAATCAGATAATCGGTTTACCCAACTTTTTAGTTTCCAAGTCTCCTATTACTACTAGATCTGATGATTGTCAAACATAATTACGTAGTAAAACAGTAGTTATGTTAAAAAAAAAATCTTTCAAAAGCATAGTCTTATCGTAAGATCAAACAGGAAGAAATCAGTGTTGCTGTTAGGCATGTCTGGTAAGTCATGAGCTAGACGCAGCCTTTTACAGAGGATTATTTTTCGGATAAAAATAATCCTAGGTTTGACTATATCTTGTCATCGTCATCGGTGTAAAGCGCTAGTCATCGATCAATGGTATACGAAACAACTTGAAAGACTTTCACGAAGGTGGCAAGTCGGTATTTAAAAGGATTATTTATGACAAGTCGAACTGACATGTTCTAAGAAAGACAGAGAGAGAGGGAGAGAGAATTAGTTTTGCATATGTGAAGAATGATACATTTTAAACATTTGTTTTTCTAGAAAGTGTCGATTCATTTGAAGCCATCCAAACTTACGTTACTGAAATAAGCGAAGCAACTCCACCGTATTCCATTATTATTACACTTGGAGTAAGTTTGAAGGAAAATTATTTCAGAAAATTTTCTTTGCTGCAAAATAGTTTAAAATATTTAAGAGAATATCATTGAATACCGTTACAGGATGATTCAACAAAGGGACAGATGTATCATACGATTACGGATGGAAACGAGGATAACAAATTTGCGATTAGCAGCGAGATGTAATTTTATATAATAGTAAAAATAAAAAGTGAATATGAAGAATGAAATGCTTTATGAAACTTCATTCATTGTAATCTCTGTAAATTAATATATACCTATAATTTCTTCTGTACAAAATAATGGAATTTGAACTTTTTTTTCCAGTGGAACTTTAATTACGATAAACTCGTTTGATAGAGAAGAAGCGTCACTTTACAGTTTGCAAATCGAAACACGCTCTTTAAATTCAGATCAACATTTGTACTGGACAATTGTCCAGGTTGCTATAGCGGTATGTTCGTTACAAATTTGTGCATGAGAAATGGAAGTTACATGTTTTTTAAAATTTGAAAAGTACTGAAAGCAAATTAATTGTGGATTTCTTGTCTTAATAATTTTAATTAAAAAAAAGAAAAATTTCTAATAATATGTCCATTTTTATGAAATTCCCTGTTAAGGATATCAATGATAATGCTCCAATATTCATTGATCCGCAGCCAATCAGATTGCGTGTTGAAATCAGTGATGTACTCAATCTTGCGCCAAATACGTATGTGGGACAAGTAAACGTAAAAGATCCGGATGATGGCAATAACGGACGTGTGGCACTAAAAATTGCACCTCCCATGGATAAGTATGTATTTAGATAATAGTATTTACGAGTAGGCATTTATTGAATTTCTGTTTTGCAGAAATTTAAATATAATCATAAGAGAGTTTAAATTCAATTCTGTTATATTTCCAACATTATGCAACTTGATTCTGATTAAAACTGATATTATATTGCAGATTGTTTTCAATAAATGATAGCGGTGTTATAACGGTAAATGGTGATCTGTTGAGTGGACATTTTGGTGAACATCGAATGACTGTTATTGCCACTGATTACGGTGACCCACCTCTTGAAACTCGAATCAATATAATCACTAATATTGAAAATGCTCTACAAAGTGCATCAACGAATTCTGTTAGTTTTATTATTTGCTATTAAACATTCAGCTATGAAAATCACACACGGTTAAAAAACAAATCAACAGTTATAGTATTTTCAACAGTAAAAGATCCTAATGAATCATAGCTAAGACTCTGTAATTTTATTCTTCTATTTCAGTCTAACAAATTGCAGCCTTGACTATCTTCAGTGATAGATAACATATTTTTGTCAATAAAAATTTTTAAATATTCTTTTATTTTATAGACTTAAATATACAAAATTCTTTTAATTTAGTTGCAAAAAAAACTTTTGCATATGCGGGTAGAAATGTTTAGCTGCACAAAGTTATTTAAACTTTTATTGAAGATATAATGAGCTTTCCAGACTCAGCTATCAACAGAATCGAGTAGTCTAAAGCGTATAAATTTAACGCCGAATAGTATCAATTCCCCCCAAAACATGCAGTTCACATCCGATTCTGCAATACCAGGTACTATAAGCAAGTAGAATATAGTTTGAAAAAAGCAACTCAAGATTTAAGCCATAAAATTTGCACGGATTTGACAATCAGCGTCGGAGAATAGGAATTATGGTAATTATGGATTTAATAATAAACGTCACCAGAAATTGTTGTTCCAGCAACCGTGCAAACGGCAACAGAAAGTCCAACTCTGCGATTTGCGCCCGTGTTCGATCCGTCTGAGATTACGGTTACTGTCAAAGAAAATCAAGCAAACATTGAATTGGTTAAGCTTCATGCTTATTATATGGATAATAAACCTGGAAGCATCACATATGTTATGCTTTCAGGAGATCCATCGCTTTTCAAGTTAGTGTTTGATCTTTATGATTTTTCTTATACAAAATACAACAATAATTTTAATTTTATTGTGTATTAATGCGTATATGTATGATTGTATGATTCAAGGATGGAAATTCAATCCAAATTTTCACTAAACCCAGAAATTTCACACAGGACATATAAAAAGTGTTATCTCAGCATAACATAAATGAATGCATTTCAAGTCAAAACTCAGGCATAAATTTCAGTACTAACTTAGGTATTTCCTATTTATTTTAGAATCTCGATGATTCATTGTCCTCGTTGTACAAAAAAGAATCAATTACTCTCTGATTATTTACAAACGACTTTTAGTAATCGTCAAACAAGATTACACAAATTTTTAACAGAAAGAAAGATTTTACAGAAATCATAAAAAAATTTGAGTGATCAGCAGGTTCTTTGCAGTGTGAACAGTTTTACCGGCTCTCTCCATTTGCTCCGTCCGCTAGATATGGAGGAAGAAACGTCATATGAAATTCGAGTTGGTACTGCTGAGGTTTGCTGTTTTTCTTTCCATAAGCAAAACTGTAATATGGTATTTTTGAATATGAATATGGTATGTAATATGGTATCCAGAAAGCATTATTTGAAAATTATTATATGTAAATGTGGAGAAATTATGATTATAGTTTAAGTTAATTTTTGTTCAAACAAAAAATAGAATGTTTTTCTAATCCTGAAGAAGCATAATATTTCAGGCGGTCGTCTTGTTTACGGAGCCAAATTCTCCGCACACAGTTCTGGTTACTGTAAATGTTGTAGATATCAATGATTGGATACCAAATTTTGAACTTCATAGCTATAAATTTAAAGTGAATGCAGATGCCAAACTCGGCACAACTATTGGTCAAATTGTAGCATACGACCAAGATAGAACCGCAAGTTTTTTAGAAATATTTTTATTGTGATTTGATAAGCCTTTGTAGATTCATTTCTGTATTAATTTTTAACAAGAAATTCCGAGAGTACTTCGTTTCAGATCGTGGGTTTAATCCCCAGTAGACGGTTATAAGTGTTTATATATACCGAAAAACTATTTCGAGCAACAATAATGGAGTATTTCACTTCAGACCTTTAATTTTCCTGTAGATAGTTTACTCAAATTTAAAAAAAAAAAAATTTTAAAGCAAATAACACTCTGTGCTGGTAAAACTATATTGTTTCAGGCGCCGAATAATGAAATTTTTTATCGGATCAAAGAAAGCAACACTAATGAATCATACATTAATGTAGATCCCAAAAGCGGTTTACTAACTGTCAAAAAAGATCTTCATTTACTCGCAAATAAAAAAATTTCGGTAACTATTACATTAAGTTTACAAATTTGTAATCCGTGATTAGATTCCTAAACCTCATTTTTGCAATTTCTGATTTTCAGAACTCATTATTTCAGTTAAATATAGAAGCAGAAGATGGCGGTACACCAAAACAGTCTAGCAAAACGTTTGCTTTAATTGATGTTGAACCTGAAGAAATTGTCATTTTGACGGGAAGGCCATCAACGTTTGATTCTTCTAGCAGCAATAAGCTGCAATTCTCACAACGAAATTACTCGTGAGTTCACTATGGATTTATAAATGAATATTGGAATGAGGAAATTGTCAGTATATGAAGGGACCTTTATTCATACCCTCATATTTGAAGATCACTTTAGTTCCTGAATGCATTTCAGCTCTTCTCTATTGGAATCAGTCCAGCCGTCACATTTATTGCTTGTTTTACCAGTGCTTAACAAACCAACAAATGAGCGTTTCACAACTTGTTCAATCATTTCCGGTAATTACGGAGGTAAGATAAAACTATCTTTATTTTGGGTGAGTACGTACGACAATTTTTATATGCTTCATAACATTTAAATTATAAAGTTAGCAAATTTTAGGAGTCTTTAGCATTTCAACCGATTCCGAAGGTAATTGCGAGCTTCAAACCCAAGCGCTACTGGACCGAGAAACAGTAGACTATTATCAATTAAATGTAAGCGTAAAAACAGAACAGCGAGTGGACTATGCCATTGTGCATGTAACTGTTTTCGATACAAATGACAATGCTCCAGAATTCATTCCCAATAATGATGAATATAATGGATATTTTGCGGCATTGTCCACTGATGCCTCTTCATTTGCCTTTATTATCACCGTGCAGGTGATCTTTCTAATATGACAAATAACATCAAACTTTTTTGTCTCAAAATCCAGGAAGAACAACAAAATTTTTAAAAGAAAAAACGGCTGCCATATTTCTAACTTACGGCATCTAAATTTCCGTCGTTTTTATTAGTTAATGATAAGTTAACAGTAATTGCTACCTAATTATTTCATATAAAATTTAACTTGAATTCTTCATTCAGGCTAAGGATGCTGATCTAGGAAACAACAGTGCTGTTATGTATTCATTGGATCCGTTTTCAATGGATTCGAAATATTTCATGATTGATCCGATCGGTGGAAAAATTCAAACAAAAATAAGTGCAACACAAATGATGGAAAACAGTCAGAAAAATTATTTTATTTTTCGAGTTAGCAATTTTTGCTCATTTCTTTTTTGGTGTCCAATGTGTAATTAGGCATTTCGATACCAGAGAAATTAATTCCGTTTTGTTGACCGGTGCTGGTTGAAGTCCTTGCAATTTTTAATGCATTTCATGAGTAAATGTTGCAGCTGCAGAGAGCCGGTCAGAGACTATAATATTTTTTTTGGTGCAAATTCAAAGGAAATTGCTTTAGAGCTTTTTTTCCTTACGATTACTCATTCATGTTGTTGTAAATTACACAGCTGACTTTTCATCGTACGCCATAATCGGTAAAATAAAGAGTGGTTATTGTATAGAGTAAGAAAAGATCAAAACAATGATTTTTTTCTTGGGTAGTGGCTCTGGTCTCTAAAAGAATTGAACCACGACTGCATTGAACATATATCAGTAGTTCCTAGACTAGCCAGATGCCTTCAATGCTTTATGCTGATCCACGTTGAATTCAAATAAAATCATTCTTCTAACATCATTTCTTTATTCTAAAATAAATATGAGTGAAATAAACAGAACGTGACAAATCATTAGCAAAGAAAAAGGAAAAAAGAGTAGCATTACATTTCGGTAAATTGTTTAAAAGATCAATTGGATGAATGAAAATGCTTTGAGGTTATCGCTTGTGACTCTCCTCTTGCTGGAAAGAAATTATGTTCCAAAGCGGAAATATTCGTGAATATAATCAGTGACTCAAATCGATTCATTCTGTCAGTCCTTAATACTGAACCACGCTATCTCAAAACTGTTGAAAGGGTAAAACTCATTTTAATTTCTTTATAGTATTGGAAAATAAATATTCCAAAATTTTCTTTCCTATAATGCTGGTAAATGTATTAAATATCATTAACAGATTTAAATTCTTTCAAAATGAATGTATGATGGGATAAAAGGCATAAGAATATTCCGAGTTACTTTTAGGAGATTGCAAAAGTATTGAGTGAATTCACTGATCCATGTAAGCTGCTTCTTTTGGAAAGTGTAGAAGAAAACCAAAATAATATAAAGAAGCAGAGACAGGTCAATATGCGCTGGTATGCTGTGAATCCAATAACAAAAACAAGCTGCAAAGTTGATGAGTACAGGTGAGACTATAATTCTAATAATTTATCGATAAATTAGCAAATTTATTGTGTACTTTTAGCAAACTTTTCGATAATACAACGATAAGGACAATTGCTAAAAAATTGAAACCACAAATTGTTATTGGTGAAATTCGCAACCAGTTAAAAAGTGTGCTTAGCGAAAATGCGATGCTTTTTACAAATTTCAAAACTACTTCTGTTGGTTGGTATTTCATCTTAAATTTTTTATGCTTTCTCATTTTGTACTAGCTACGACTCTAACAAGTAATGTTACTTATCCTACACTTTTGTGAAAAGTGTAATTTTTCAAGGATTTAATTTTTTTGATATTGGGACTTCTTATCAGATAGAATGCTTCCAGCAATGATTGTACTAGCAGTGACCATAACAGTTGGAGCATTGATTGGAATATGTGCTATATGTTTGTGCTACACACGACATCGAATAGAGCAACATTCCAAACATGAATATCCAAATATTAATCAAATTCCAAAATTTGGTACCATATTTTTGCCAAATGGACCAGTTGGAAGCTCTCATGATATGCTTTATGAAACCCAGGTATACTTCTGTGTGAATTATTTGGGAAAATGTCGGTTGCGTCTCGGTTCAGGGAGTTTACAGGCTTGAGTGTATCCGATTGTCTTTGAAGTGTGCAAGTGGAGGGTATATATCCTTTATTAAAATAATATGGAAGAATAAAATAGTAATAAAATGCTGCTAATAACGTATGGCAAGTTGGTTGGGTTTTAAGGTCGGATGATAGTCAAACGATCTCGAAATAAGTTTGATGTAGGAGCGAGGTGATGTCGAAGAATGATGTAATAAAAGAACGTTGTTGGAAAATGATGATAATGATCCCTCTTACCGTTAATGTATGTATATATATTTAGAAAAAAAGGGGATAGTTATGTAGATAAGGGTTTGGCGGTGTGATTGAAGTATGGGTAGTTAACATGTGTTGGGAATATGGGCGAAAGGAGTGAAGGAGAAAGGGACCAAAGTTAAATTTGATAGTGGATAATTGATGGTTAAAATGCATCGTGAACCTTGCATTAATAGTTGACAGCAGTTGACGACCAAAGATGAATTAAAGAAAACTTAATCATTGATCTGATCTGATAATAGTTTCGTTATGAAATAACTTCGAGTTTGTTCTCGACAACTTCTTCTTATCAAAGAATTTTTCACAAACCAGATAGAACAATATATGATGTTGTTCGAAGAAAATTTAGCTTGAAAAAAATTTCCCACGTGGAAATACTACACATCAAATAAATTTTATTATCAGATGCTTGAAATGCCAATTGGAGAGGAAGAGAGTATGGTGAAAACAATAGGAAATGGAGGTGGAATAACCATTGATACACACGGGATATTATGTTCCAGTAGATACGATTTAGATGTTGAACAGAGTTATCACCAGAATTTTGTTCAGAATGCATTAACTGATAAAAGAAAATTTTCTATTGAAGAAAACATATTTACAATCAATAAACGAAACGACCTACATTCGCAAAAGAGCAAGTATGTTGAATTTTATTTATCGATTTAACTTTAAAACTCATTCAATTAAATGTTTCTAACATAGGGATTTAAATTTTTTGATTTCTTACAATTTTCCTAAAGGATTTATTGATTCCAACTAAACTAATTACAATGCTATTTTAAATTTTTTTTTGAAAAAAAATTTTTTAAAAATCACTTCTAAGAATTTTATTGAAATTTTTCTTTGTTTCAGAAGGATGCAGGAAATGGTGATACCCAATCCAGATTATCCCATGGGTCAAAAGAAAAGTGTTTTTTAGTAAGTATGTGTATTCGTTTTTCTCATTTCTCACATTCGGCAAGATTTTTGAATGATTTTGAAATCCAACTGCTGATTCAGCAGATTTATTACTTCATCTCATTTATTTTTATAATCAAGCATCGTTAGTTTTTTTAATATATGGCTAAAGAAAATTATTAAAGAGGTTGTCCCAAGATTGCTAAATTTTTTTCTGCTTCTCCAATAGCAACTTTCAAAAATTGATAAGTGAATTGAGAGTATCATAAATACAAAGTGCTCTAGTCAATCAGAAAAATTTGTTAGCATGTTGATTATCATATCTGATAAGAAACGATAAGATGCAGAATACTAAAACTCATTTAATGTTCAAAGAGGTCATGTTGTATGTTGCAGGATATTGCACACGCAGCAGGAAGACTCTTAACTACGATACTATTTATAAAACAATAAGATCTATTATTTAAACTGGCAGAACTATACGTAATGCTAGGAAAAATCGTGTTGGGCGTCAAATTTATTAAATATTTTCAAAATGTAACATGAATATCATTTTTCCATTATCATCTTTCCTGTGTACTTCATGGTTATGTGCTTTTTCTTTATTTTAAACTAATTTACAAAGTTGGTTATATGAAATTGAAAGAAATTTGAATCGAAAAGAAAGTTTTTTGAAATATCAGAAGTATAATGCAAGAATTTCAGAGGCGAAAAAAATTATACTATTTTTAATCTCCATAATCTTAAGAATAAACCAATATTTCTAAAGGAAGCTATAAAATTCAAACTCTAAAATTCCAAGAAAACCGTTGAAAAATCTTTGAGAATAATCAGAAGTTAAACATTTTTACTCATCAATTGAAAATCAAAACTAAAGAATAGCATCGCACAGATGTATGAAATGCAATTGTTGCATATATTTGTGTACGTGTATCAAATAGTTTATTCTCCTATTTTTCAAGTGTTAAGCATGTGATGAAGAGGAAGAAAAAGATGATATAGAATCAGTGTTATCATTCTTCTGTTTTAGCTTCCACTTTTTTTTTATGAACTTCCTCATTATTAATCTTTACTCGGAATCTTGTACATATGCAGCACATTATTAATATCGTCCCAACGAATACTATCAGAATCCAGTAGAGTACAATACCCGCCGATAAGACTGTAATAGCATATAGCTTCTTTCAATTATTAATTTGCAAACATTTTTTATATTATTTGTATTAACCATTTTTGTGATGAACTTTTGATCACACTTTGTTCATTTACCAACCAGGTAATAATTAGCAATAATAGTAACAAACCCATAAATTCGGTACGCTTGTATATAGGTACTATTGATGAACTGGTCACTGGCAGTATTTGTTCTTGAACCATGAAATTTTTAATAACTTTATTTCCTGCTTTCATGTCTCCATTTTCAAAGATTTCTCGTTTGTGCACATCGTTTAATCTATATTACATTTCCGATCACTGTCCATTGATGAATAGTGTGACGCATTTTTTGGATAAGAACCCTAATTTTGATTTAGTAGGAAGCAGGGAGTAATTAATTAAGTCTACTTTAGTTTCTTGACAAACTTTTGAAAGGGATTTGAGCTTCGATAAGTATCGAATGGAGCTATTCGAAAATTCTTAGAAACTTGTAAGTCTTATATATCAACTATATTAGTTGAAGATAACTCTAAGCATTTTTATGATTATTTTTTATACAGAGATTATTTCTAATCTTTAGAAATTGTCATTACTGCATAAATGTGGAGAAATTATGATCATAGTTTAAGCTGTTTTTGCTCAAACAAAAAAGAGAACTAAGAGTATCAGAAAATGTTGGGAAAAACTTCTGCTTTCTTTTGAACTATAGAAATACTTACTTTGGTTGCTTATACTGAATAGTATTTTCAGAATCGTTCTTTCTCAGATGCATTGTGGAATATGCTGGGTGTAAAAAGCGAATTATTTGGCAATAAAAGAAATGTTTAGTGTTTGTTTGAATGTGTATGAAACCACTGAATTGAACATTTCGTCAGCAGGATTTAAGTGCTTTCGTCATAAATTAAAATTGTATTTTGAAATTTTCAATGAGACGTTTTAATTTTTTTTTGATTTATCCATTCTCTTTTGAATCAAATGAAAATCAACCTGATGAAGCTAAAAAGATAGTAGCGAGAAAGAGCAGCAAATGAAACAACAGCATTCTTGCAAATCAAATGAATAAAATATTCTCTGTAAGAAGAATTTCAGTTTTTATATGGTAAACATTACATAATTTCATAAATTTTATTTTAAGAAAGAAAGCCTAACGGCTGTTTCATACTAATGATTCTTTTACAAGTTTATTTAGCAGTCCAACAAAATTATTCCCGAAATATTCTTTGAACACCTTTTCTGTCCAAAAATTATCCGCTTATACTTCCGAATGTTCTTAACAAATTTTTTTATATTGATTTTAATATTCTGGCACATGACCTTTTTTCTTGTCTCCTGGCTGACAATAATGTAAAATGAAGAATTCTAAAAGTTTTAAACACAAAGTTTACCTTGAGTTTATCGCAAAAAGAGAAAAAAAATCGAATAATAATTAACATTCTTAGAAAAAATAGTTCTTGGCAGAAGATTGGCTTAAAAAGTATAGATTTCTACTTGCGTATAAAAACTCATAGCAATATCAGTTTTATAGCCAGTTTTAAGAAAAGGAAATAAAAAAATTCTACGTAAACATAATTATCATTGGTATATTTCGCTAATGATAATTAAGCTTCACCAACAAAGCATCACCAACAATACAAAAAGGTAAAGTAACATCTACCAAACATAAATGGATATTAATCACAAAATTGAATAATGGTTAACACTTTTAAGAAAATACAATGTGCCTGCAATGTATGAATAGGAATCTTTTGATGTCTTTAACCGAACAGGATTTCAAGGATTACTCTAACTTTTCTTTCATATTCTTTATTACAATAAAGAAATTGGCAACTTCTTACTATGGAAAGAAATGTGTGTAAAATGTAACTGGGAAAGTAAAAAATAACTGCCATAAAATTGGAAATAAATATTTGTTCCCAAATGTTTCACAGATGATTTCATCCCGGATGTGAAATTGGAAGAAATAAGAGGCAAATAAAAAAATAAAAATGTTGGTATTAAACATAATACACAAAAGAAACCAGAAATTAAAAAAAAAAGACAAAATTTTATAGGGACAAGAAATGTGAACCATTCAGGAAAATCAGTGAAAAGCAGAAAAGAAATGATGAAATATACTGATTGCTTCATCATTGGGCATTTCACTCTACTCATTTTAACTCACTCTCAATATACACATGATAATTGTTATCAACACCGGCTCTTGTTTTGGTGTAATATAACAAAGATTTTTTTGGAAGTGTTTGTTTGTTTTAAGATGATGGTTACCTGATTCAGGACTTTGTTAGATATTTTATACCAACCATTTACATTAAGAATTCAGGCGATAAATTTAGTACAATGTTCGCTGGTTTGCGTGGCTTTGTTTTTCGTGAAGTTTTCATTTGGCTCGTTCGTTAAAAACCATGGTCTAGAAGTAATTTCCAGTGTAGCTAATGATAACATCAAAAATTGAATTCAATTTCCTCCCAGTACAAAAACAAAATTTTAAGCATAATTTTTCTTAAACATGTAATTATTTGCTACAGTAGGTGATGTGATTGTAAATAGCAGATTGAGAAATTATGAGGCGAAATATAGCACAACTTTAGTAATTTAAATATGAAGCGTGGAATAATCTTGCAGTGTCACGAATTGTAGTTCTGATAATCCATGAATATTTTTTCACAGCACAACGTAAACGACTGGCAAGCTTTATAAGCTAGTAAGTAATTTTTTACTAGAACAGATGAGGATATAACTGAACATAAATTCACAGTAATTGGTGAATCGCCCATGAGTAGACAAAACAGAGAATAAATAGTGAAATCAAATTTAAAGAATGAAAATGGGACATGGAATCAGCGCACGAGTATGGGGACTTTTAAGCGGAAAGGTCGCATAGTAGAGGATTTGATTAGCGAATTGTCCATCGTGTTCTAAGTCTCTACATCAGCTCATGCTGAAGATTTCCGCCGACAAATGCGCAGCTACAGTATTGTCATTCACTTCGCAACAATTTTCATAGCGAAAATTTCTGGAGTGCATTTATTCAAAATAATTTAGTTGGAAGTTTAGTATTAAAAAAAATTTCGTAGTAGTTTGTTTCTACTTGAAGTTATTCAATTTTATGAACAGTTTGCTGAATTTCACAAAAATTATGTAAGTATCTGCAACTAATACGAACAAACAAGCTATTGTCGAGCATCTGTTATGTATTTTACTGCCTGAAATGATTTATTCTGGGTTGATAAGAATTTATTCACAAGGGCTTTTCTCATCCTGTATAAATGAAAACTATTTAAACTAAAATTTAATATCTACAAGTGCTCGATCACTCACTGATATATGCTAGAAATGTGATATGAAGTTAATGGTAATAAAACAATGTGTTAGAAGTAGCATTAAATTGTACATCGGAATTTCGGTTATTGTTGGTGATCAATCGATAAGCTGAAACATTTTTACATGTTCCATTTAAGGCGGCGGCTGCTGGTAAAACGTCCTGCTAAAATTTAACTTTTCTACATTTAACTTTCAAACATTAAAATTACTCATTCAATATTACCAAATAATTTAAAGCTGCAAAAAAATTTGATAAAAAATTGATATATGCACTTCTTGATTTCTGAGTAGTTGGTGTTCGTTAAAGGAAAATGTATAAGTGTTTTGTTTGTTTGTTGAGATGGTTGTATATGTTGTACATGGACGAATAAATGGTCGAAGAACAGAAATGAAAGCCGCTCGAAAACTATCATTTATCAATGCATATAAGATGGGATTTATACATGCAGATGTCATCCCAACTAAATGACAAAATAAATATCTGAAAATAGAATTGAGATACTGTAATGATATGACTGATATACGATCATTGTTGAACTATATGCAATGGCCCTATCTGTTTGAATTGGTGATTTCACAGAAGTTAAGATGAGAAATTATATCTACGAATAATTTCTAACGAACAAAATATACCTGTATTGAGAGAATTCGATTACTTCGAGGACATTGAGGACATTATAAGCATTCATTGGAAACCATGCTACTGCATAAATCAATACTAATAGTATCAGCAATAGTAAAGCTTTTCTGAAAATCTCCATTTCAAAAATATTTTAACGTTCTTATAACTGCTCTAACTGAACATCATCAATCCATGCTGTCAACCAAAACTAGCAAGTAACACTGTTTTATTTTCTATTTTTTTAAAAGCAATTATCTGGAAAAGAATTTAACCTATTTCTCTGAATCATAACTTGTCGACGCTGCTGATCAATCGCTGTGCTCGCTTTCACACGTTTACGGATGGCGGAACCAATTTGTGAGTAGCTAAATGCTAAAGCTGTAACTGGAAGCAAATATTGTATGGCCAGTACTGAAAGTGTGTATGTACGCCTTGAGAAAGGCAATCGATGCCAAGCCTTTTCGATACATGTCTGCGGTCGCTTACGTCCACATATATGAAGCTAAAAATCATCATCAACCTTAAATACAGAGTTGCATTTTGACTTTTTGAGGGAAGATTATGAATAAAATACTTCAGTCTGCTTACATCAATTTTATTATCAACAAAAGAAATTGTTGTAAAGCAAAAAGATGGATTTTTTTTCTATTCTCACTACTGACAATTTCCCGGCTCCCGGAGAACTTCACAATTCTTATCTAGTTTGACTGTCGAAGAAAAAACTAAAAAGGAACTTGCTCTAATATAAATCAGTTCCTGATAATCACCAAAAAATAAAATATTAAGAAGACTAGCAATAATCTCAAGTTTGCGAGTTTGTTGAATAAAGTTGATTAAATCTTCTACCTATCAACTAAAAACTATAATTTATTATGAGTTAGTTATTTCTATAAGGAAACATTAATTTCTTCCTGTACCATACCATAACATCGATGTAGGGTTGATTCCACGGTTCAAGCATCACATCTTCAGCAGCAACAGCAAAAAAGTAAGGTGCTGCAATCACAAGTGATGTCAGCCAAACGATACAGTAACATATGATTGGAGCTGTTGCAGCAAACTTCCTATAAATATGCAAATTAATTTTAAAATTGCCTAACAATTTGATTTTCTAACTTTAAAAGCCGTTCTAAAGCATAAATACGTGTCATGTCAATGAGAATTGATACTTGCCATTTAATAGGACACAAAGTTAATAAAACTCGATCCATAGCAATTAGCACAAGTGTCATGCACGATACAAACATATTTACAGCTTGCACCGAAGCTAACTAAAATAATGAAAGAATTAATTCATGAATATATTAAATCATAAACAGTTACATGTAATTGACTGAAATTGTTAGTTAGCAAGTAGAAAAATTCATTAGAGACAAATAAAAATTAGCTGTTTTATATAAATGATTCCAACTATAATTATTGTTCAAAAACCGCCGTCATTTTTTTGTAACCTTAAAGATTCTCGTGTTACTTTCTCAATTCATAATATTAATTTTTTCATTTTTCTTGTCTTTCTGTAATCTGTCAAAAACCAACCGTTTGACAAGCAAAATTGCCAAATGGCCAAAACAGATTTCTTGTAAGATAAAGTGTGACAGGTGCGGTGATAACACATAGTAAAAGATCTGACACAGCCAAATTTGCAATAAAGTAGTTGCGTAAATTACGTATATGCGAAGTTCGTAAGAATGCAATGAGAACAATTAAATTAGCTAATGTTCCAAAAACGCATACCAGGCCGTACAACAACAAAACATAGCTCTCGCCACGATGCTGCCATAAAAAGTTATTCTGAAATTTCTATGAAAATTGATCAAAAATTAATGAATAACAAGCGACTGTTGTGGAAATAAATAAATATAAATATATCTTCTCCTAAATTTTTAATTACAAATAAGTTTAAAATGCAGTTTTGAAAATCCGAAATTTTTGAAGCTAAGGGGGTAAGAAAAGAAGAAATTGTTGGTTCCAGTGATGTGTGATGTATCGTTTTTAATTGCAGTAATTACACATGTCACCAAAAATTTCGGATTTTCAAAAAAAACTGTACTTTAAACTTATTTGTAATTAAAAATTTAAGAAAAGATATATTTATATTTATTTACTCAATTGCAGGACTAACTTTTGAAAAAAAATGGAACTTTTAAGCAAACAAGACTTGTTTAACATAAATTTATTAAATTTTTCTAGTGATATTATGAATTTGAACAAATCAATGCAAAAAGTTGTAATCATAGAGAACGCATTCAAGTCTTAACTACCTTAAAGTTAATTAAGCTCCCCTATTCATTTCTTGTTTCAGATTGTAAATTTCGAACACTCTGAGATATTGCAAGTAAATTTTGAATTAAAATTTAAAAATGAAACTAAATGTACCTGAATGTTATAAATTTCATCAAATTCGTCACAATTAATATCTGACCAATTACTCCGTGAACTATTTTTTGCCGATACCAACACTGACATCTTTTTTCTTCAATATATAATATTTACTACTAAAAACTTTTCACCGTCAATTTGTTGAATTTGCAAAGTAAAAGAAATTTTGGTTTATATGAACGAAATGTATTTGGTTGACTCGTAGATGACGAAAGGTAAACCTAAACAGTCGCTAAATATGAATAACACTATAAAGATAAATTCCAACCATTTAGTGATAGAAAGGAAATGATATAATGGGAAACAAAACAGTTGAAATTCACAAATATGATAAAAGTGCAACACTGACATTTTTCAAAACTAAAAAAAATTTTACATAGCACTTCAAATTGCAAATTCTAATCTAACTTTAATAATCATAGGTCATTTATGGTTGGCATTTTAAAGGAAATTCAATTATGAAAATTAAACAATATATAAAATAAAGCAAACATTGAAGATTTTAAATTATTGCACTCATAAAGTCATGCAATCATTAACAAATATGAAAATTTCACTCTCTATTTGCCGCTGTTGAAATCATGCTCATCAGGTCATTTATGGTTGTCTTGTCAACCATCTTACATAAATATTTAAATTCATTATTCAAAAGTGAATATATTACTTTTTTTGTGAAAAAAAGTTAGGTACCTTCAAATTGTTGCAAGAAAATTTTACGTCGTTTCTCCGATATTTAAAATTGATGTATCGCGTAATAATCGAGCTAAAATTACATAAAAATGGATTTTATGAATAAATAAAAGTACCATATAATATTTAATATTAAAAATTAAGCACCTTATTATTCTAAATTATTTCCAAATATTATGTCATCATCAATATGATGACATAATATTTGGAAATAATTAACATATATTTCTTCTTGATGCGCCTTCTAAAACACGGAATATGAAGATCAGTACATTTAGCTCTTCTCTTTGGGAATTCAGTTACTTGGTTCATTTACATAATTATTAGTAATTATGACAAGCTACTACTAGGGTTTTATTTTAAATATTTGATGGATTAATATTTTGAATTTTGTCAAAGATGTAGCGTAGTTGCTGAAGTGAGCATCCTGAGATGCGCACTATGACACAAAGATAGCATACTGATTGAAAGAGAACTTGAAATTGATAAATTACAATAAGCTAATCTGAAAAACAATCAATCTGGAGTACACGTACACAAACAGAATATATCGCTGAAAAGAAATTAGCGTATTCGTATAATAATATTTTAATTTATTTGTGGTCCTCAAAAATCAACAAAATATTTGATGATTTTATTAAACTATGGTGATTTAGTCAAATTTAATTCTATTTCAACAAATTCAAACAATAAAATCAAAGAGAGATAGCAGAATCAACAGAATTCAGAAAGACTGAGAGCCACGCATTTGGTTGAACACACTTATTAATTAGCAATGATAATCTCACTTTTCCATAATTGTGTTTTTTACTGACTTCCTCAATTGAATTAAATTACAAACTAACATTATTTATATGACTTTATAAGAATACAATTATTCTTCTCACTTACTATTTACTTTTAATTTTCGATAACACTCAAATTGATCTTAGCACACAATTCTAAAACATTCATCGATTACAAGATATACAAAATTTTCGTTTCCTTCTCCTGATATGATTTCGATTTCGCAAGATGCTGGATCTTACATAATATTAGCATTCCATTCTTTCTTTCTTTAAGATAAAAAGCCAGAATGTTCATTTGACAAGTAAGGTCAAAGCAAATCAACAGTGAAGTATATATAGTTAAAAAATTTTGAACAGCTTGTTGACAGTTATGAAATTGAAAAATTTACAAAAATTACAATTAAGAAAAAATTAGATTTAATGTATTGAAAAAAAAAACATTGGGATGGATAAGGAGTCTTGGTGTACTTCATGTAAGGGATATTATTAAAGCAGATGAGAGGAGAGAGATTTATAAAAAGAATGGTTGGGAAGTGAGCTATAAATGATTGTAGTGCGAAGAAGGGAGATGCCGATTAGTTTTAAGTCGTTGGAGGCTAATGTTTAAAGTGCTGGAACTTCTGACAGGGATTTTTTTAACAGGATAAAGAGATGATTAATTCAGCGGTAAGATATAATATACTACTCATTTAGATTTATTTCATGCTCGAAAATCAATTCTATACATTTCATGCTGTATAATAATCTTCAAGTAAATCAACAATCTTCCTGATGAAAATATCGTTAACAGAGGAATTTATCAGGAATGCATAACCCTTGAAACTATGAAAGTGAAGAAGTGATTTAATTAATTGAATCTTAAAAATAATTGATCCGTGAACTTAATTAAATTGAATAAATTTTAAATTCCCCCAAAATGTGAATAATTCTTACAATTGGGCAAAACTTCAAATTTGAGTGAAAAAGATTGAACCATTTGGAAAGTCTCTAGCACATTACACTTTTCAGTGGGGTAAGAAAGAATCGAGAAACTTTATCAGTTCTAAAACGAAGCTAATAAAAGTTCGAAAAACGAGAGTGAGAAACAGAAATATTGAATTATATTTGATTCAGGCTATTTAGTAACAAATACACTAGAAAGAACAAAAAATTTAGAGCTTGAAACGAAGCATCAAAATGTTGAAGATAGAAAAATCAATCTTTATTTCCTTGTAAAATATGTTGCACCAGAAATTAATTTAAAGTAACGCTTAGGTGAACCTAAAAATTG